GATCATTTTAGGGATGGAGTCGATTTACGGGCAAACAAATTTTTGCAGGGATGCTGGCTGCATTGCAAGTATTCATTTGTACATAACTGATATAGCAATTCCAGTAGCTTGAGTTGAAGCATACATTCTGGAAATGTAGTAGGAATTAAATAAACTTTTATTACGGGATGCCTTGTTATCATGTTATGTAGATGTTTCAGTCTCGGGGTTGTGGAACTTGTTCTTAATTCCGAGGATGCATCTTTTATACGAATTCATTATTTTATCAAAAGATTGTCTCTTCCCCTTCTATTTTGTTTCTCTCTTGGCTATAATTTTCTTCTCAGAAGTGAATAATTTTTTGAAGTTTAAGTGTAAACCACTGTAATGATTATTTTCCTTTCAGTTTTGATAATTTTTTTGTTATTGATTTTTTTAAAAATTACATTTTGGTTACGTCATCGATATATAAAATTTTGATCACTTCACTTATATTATCGAGTGTTATATTTTGGTCATTAGACCGTTAGTTCTAACTAGTTTGATGATAAATTAATTTTTAATTTGACTCGTACACTTTAGATATCATTTTAACCCCTAAATTTCATGCCATTGAAAACCACACTCGCATCTTCCTGATCGGGTTTTCATGGAACTTACAGACTGTGGGAAGACAAACAAAGTTGTTGGTTTGCACATGTGTGGAGAAGATTCAGCTGAAATTACACAGGTGCAAGCCTTCACCTAAACCGGTGCTTTCCATTTCAAGTTTGCAGCCTCTTTTTCTGATGTGCGCCGTTGTTTACCAGTGACTAGCTTTTGAAATTATTTCTTTTTTCTCTTCAATTAGAAGAAGATAGTAGTTTCTAGTGTCGAGATGACAAGCTTATTTGCTTGAGTTATGGGTGTGTATCTTGATGGTGATCATCGAGGTTCGGCCGATCAGGTTGTATCCAAACGGCCATCCTGGTCCCTTAACAGTCCCTTGTTCTGGTATTGCCTCCAATATGGTGGAACCAAATAATGATATTTCAAAAAGTCAGAGGCTTTGTTCACCAAAGCAAGGTCCCTTCCACTTGCCAGCACAAATCTATGGCCTTTCCCATGGTATCTACATGCCTATTAAGCATTAATATTTAATGAATCCTTGGTAATGAACTTCGGTTGTAATCTTGAAAAAAAAAAACATAGTTTACTTGGTTGACCAAATAGGTAGTTTACCCAAAACAATAATACCCTCATTATATTATGACCAGTGCTTAATAAAAAGGGCAACTCATTTCAATCGTCGTTATGGTGAAAATGTCTCCTGCAGGTATAGACCGTAAAATGGAATTCATTTCTATCGCAGTTATTGTGAAAATGATACAGCACCGCACTGCACTGGCGGTTTTCAATTTTTAGATGCCATCGTTTTCAAATCCAGGAAAATGACGGATACCTTTTTAGGTTACGAAATTATTGAAACCCGCGGGACCACTAAATAATCACGTTCAATTCAAACTACAGATTAAGCATAAGAAACTGACCCGTCAAGTAAATGCATGAGAGCTTCCAGGTTATGCGCGCATGACAAATCGCCGGTCTGTTTCAGAAACGGCGAGTTTTTATGATCCAATGCCAGTTCAACTCCGACATGAGAATAATTCCATGGTAACCTCTCAGCCAGCTTCATCAACCATGGCGGCACGTTTTCGTTGAAGAACAACCCCGGCGATGTAGGGACTATATCATGCACGTTCACCACCCTCAACTCTTTAACTCCAAGCAATTCCATCCGTTCCTTGACCCTCACGTTACCTACTCTAGGACCCGAAAAGGAGAATACAATCACCGGCACGGCTCTCGTATCTTGCAGCACGTTTAGACCCATTTTGACGATGTCGTAAGCGCTGAGAATCACAAGGGCGTTGCCTAAACTGTGACCGGTTATCGTTAAGCTTAGCTCTTCGTCTTTGTACATTTCGACAAATTTTTTCACTTCAGTTGAAATTTGTTCCCTTGCTGATAACTTGCAGAACCGGTAATTCTCGTCTTTGTTGGTGTAGAGATCAATGAAGCCCGATTTCACTTTTACTGTTGAATCCGGCCATGGGATTTTGTTTGAAGATACGTGTTTGAGGAAATCCATTAAATCTGCAATCCACTCTAGGCGAGTCACGGTTCCCCTCCCAGCGACGGCGATGTCGCGGCGGCCTAAACGTTTCAATGTTTCGTTGTTGGAAACGGCGACGTATCCGATCCAATTCGCAGTCTCGCTCCACACTTTGGGCCACCAAGATTTTGTCGAAATGATTTTTTTCTAAAAGGTGAAAAAGGGTGAGATTTTGAAAACCACATTAATTCTTAATTGTCTCTTTTTATTTTAAAAACTTATGCGATTTAAAAGACCTATCGTTTCGAAAATTTTTGAATTTCCTTTACTATCGAAAAATACGGTTCGAAGAGTCGCCACCAATATTTGATTAGGGTGTGATTGGGCACCCAAAAATGCTTTGTCATTTTAAATAAAAATTAATTTTAATTAAAACAATAAATTGAGGTCTGCGTTACCAAAATCCGAGTTCGGGAGTCGGTTACGTGTGGGGAAGGATTAGCACCCCCACAACGCCCTAAATCGGTACCTAGTCGATTAATTAACGTCTTTGCAATGAACTTTACAAATTCGAATTTATTTTGATTTTTGATCCCATAAAATAAAAATGTAAATTTAAAACATTCAAAAGCACTCAAAATAATTAAATTAAAATTACCAAGTCGTTTTAGAAAGATAAAGAATGTTCGATTATTTACAAATATCGAGACCAGATCTTAAAGATATAACAACCTTTTTCTCGATATATTTAAATAAACGAACATTTCTTTTTCTCTCGTTCCCAAATTTTAGGTGACGAATCAATTTTTTTGTTTCACTTTCGGGATACACTTTTATTTTAAAATCATTAAAAGCGGACCTCAAATCAGTTATGAGTGCCCACTTAAAACAATTTTAAATTAAAAGGGTATTACCCTTAATCCAATTATGTAATATGTTGAGTTATGCAAATGAGGCTATCATGCAATTTATGAAAAAAATATGTCATACCAAAAATTAATTATACAAAATTAAAAAATAAAAATACAACGTGACATGCAAAAAATTATATAAAAATCATAAATTATGCATATTGACATATTATGTACATATGACTCAAATATAAAAACAAAAACATAACATGCTAAACTAAAAATTTAAAAAAATTGTATGTACATATATATAAAAATGACCAAATTTAAATTCTAATTAATTACGAGGCCATAAATTTTCTAATTTTAATCAATATCCAATAAAACTAAATAATTAAGAAACTAAACAAGGAAACATGAAACCAATCAAAGTTTAGGATTAAAGCAAAACCTATATTAAACTATAAGGACTAACCCATAAAATAAACCTTTAACCTAAAGTATACATGCCAAATTATGGCAATTTACGGCATTAACCTAAAACTAAAGTGGAGAGCAGTCTCTCACCTAATGCTTCCCTCTCCTCACATTTGGTCTCTCGATCGAGACCCTTCACAAAACAGAACCACCACATACTGTCGCTCTTCACTTTCCCCTCCTTTACTCTCTTCTTCAACGGCGCCATTCCTATCTCTCAACCCTCTTCCTCTCTTCCACGCTCGGGCGTAAACTCACCCAAAGATGCCATCGTCGCGATTCGGCCATCACTTGCGGCCAGAGAGATAAAAACCGACCTAATTAGTCTTAAACAAACCTTCATCTTCTCCCAAATTTCAGATCCGTAGCCTAAGAACGAAACTAAATCTTAAATGCCCTAAATCTAAGTTTGAATCCAGGATTCTCTCGACTCCGGCGACGTTACAACTCCGACGAAGGGACCTCAACGATTGTCTACTTCTCTACTTCGACAGTAAACTAGACTCACTCTATTTCCTTTGTTTTGAGTTTTGAATTTATATTGAAAGCTATTAAAACAAATATATAAAAAATTGCAAATGAAAATAATCATAGAAATAAAATCTTACAGGAATTAAATTTTGAGTTTGCTTTGTATTGCTTTCGAAAAAGGTAAGGTACCCCTGTTATATTGCGTACTCTTTGAACAGCTCGGGCTAGGAATAATACTTACACACTCTTTTTATATTTGCTTTGTTATAGAAAAAAAACGAATGAAGGATTTTCTGGGCCTTTGTTCTTGTGCTTTTCTGATTTTTTACAGAAAATGGTCTCTGCTTTTTCTCTCTTTTTCGTGCGCTTTCTTTTCTCAATTTTTGTTATGATCTCCCCCCCCTCTGTGTATGTGATTTTTTCTCCTTTATTCCTATAGCAGTTAATTCCGATCAAAACTAACCCCCCACGTTTTTTTTTTATTTTTAACTTCCCAAAACTGCTTTCATTTGCAAATGATATAGGCCCAGACAAATTAAGCATCTACAGATTTCTTGAAGAAATTCGGAAGGTTAATGTTTGATGTTGCGAAGAGATACTTGGAGAGCATGTAACCATGGTCCGCCATGGCTAGGGAGTCAAAGAACCGACGAGGCGTGAACCTGCAACTTCCATAGTATTTGGAAAACGGGTCAAAATCGAAAGCATCGTAACAGGCCTGTGCCATCTCGCCGTACCGAATCAGCTCCGATCGGAGAAGAGGATCCTTTGGATCTAACATCCCGACCCAATCCTAATAACCAAGTGCTTTTCTGATCATCCTTTCTTGTCTTTGTCCATAACAAATACTAAACTTTGTCTTAACACATTTTTGCCTTGCTCGCGTCCTGCTTTAATAAAAATTTTCCCTTGCTGAGCAAATAATAATAATAATAATAAAATAAAAAGTCAACCTCTAATCATTCAGCAAATCCATAAGCTTTCTTTCATTTATGAAATCCTTCAATATTCCTTGAGATCCACAATTCCCTTCATTTTTATTTCAATTTATACAATTAATTACTATATAAATTATATACATGAAAAAAATAAGGTTAATCTTGATCGAATATTGAATATGCGTACCGATAGTGAAAGAACTTAACATTTTGGCAAGGGCATCAGAGAGTTGCTGGTAACTTTTGTACATCCTCAAGTCCACTTTCCGGAGGAAAGTTGCACCGTCCAGGCTCACCTTAACAAAGGCGGCCTTCTCACCACCACGGCTGCCGGTGCTGCTCTTTGGGTGGATAGCATGTTCTTTCGGAATGACAGGACTGGTGGCCACCCCACAACTTGGGCCCTGAAATGTTAAGACAAGCCTAATTAATTGATGAAACCATGGTATGTTGCTTATTTCCTCTACGTGTATATTTTGTGTTGTGGAAGACGGCTATCGGATAGAGCAAAATCGCAACTGATAATTTGAGAAAATAAAATTGAAGATAAAGAGGACACAAAATTTACGTGAAAACCCCCTAAATAATATAGGATAAAAACCACTGGCAACGGTAGAATAATTTCACTATGAGAAAATATGAATTACAACCTCTCTCGATTTACCAAGGAGAAAACAATGATAATTCTCTCTTGAAAAAAAGAGAGAAAATAACTCTCAAGAAACTCTCTAGTGTTGGGAGAAAGCTAGAATGGTTTGGAATGGTTTTGAAGGTAAATGAGCTAGGGTATTTATAGTTGAAGCTTAGGGACTAATCTTGTAAATACCCTAAAGTTGAAATGACTAAATTTGCAATTTACCCATTACAAAAATTCAACAAAAGTTGCTACCCCTTTTTTTTCTCCACGCAGTACCGAAAGCTGCATTTATTGTGCGCACTTTCGGTGCATAGTCAACAATCTCCTACTTGAAGATTTGATTGGAACAATCATATCTTCACACCATTCTTTCTACCTTGTACCATCATGTAGCTTACGTCTCTGACAGACCACAAGAGGATCAACACCAGTTAAATTTATCAGCATTGATTGCCTTCGTCGTGAAATCTGCTATGTTGTCTTTGGTATGGATCTTCTGCATATCTACCGTCCCTTCTTCCACCTTTTCACGAATGAAATGGTACTGAACTCGTATGTGCTTTGTCCTTGAATGAAATGTTGGATTCCTTGCTAGATGCAAGACGTTTTGACTGTCACAGAACTAAGAGACATACTCTTGATTGTGCCCAAACTCCTCCAATAACATCTTCAACCGAATTGCTTCTTTAATGGCTTGTGTAGCTGCTACATATTCTGCCTCTGTTGTGGATGTAGCCACAGCTGACTGCAATTTTAAAACCCAGCTTACAGCTCCACCAGCAACTTTGAACACATATCATATTGTAGATTTGCTTTTATCCAAATCCCCTGCATAGTCAGAATCTACATAACCATTGATTAGTAAGTTTGATCCTCCGTAATATAATGCAACATTTGAGGTCCCTTTGATGTATCTCAGGTTCCTCTTTACTGTATTCCAATGCTCTTTGTATGGATTTGCCATGTACCGACTAACCACTCTCCCTGCTTGTGCAATGTCTGGTCTTGTGCATATCATAGCGAACATTAAACTTTTCACTGTTGATGCATACGGTACTCGAGACATCTTCATCCTCTCTTCTTCACTGCTAGGACTCATACTAGAGGATAATTTTTAAGTTAATAGGAAGAGGGGTAGAAATTGGCTTACAATCTTGCATGTTGAATCGTGACAAGATCTTCTTCAAGTAATTCTTTTGTGAAAGTCAAATCTTCCTATTACTTCTATCTCGGTGAATTTGCATCCCTAGAATCTTGTTTGATGATCCCAATTCCTTCATTTCAAATTCCCTAGCCAGTTGTGCCTTCAATTCTTCAATATGATCTTTGTTGGGTCCTACAACCAACATGTCATCCACACATACAACAACAATATAACAAAATTGTTATCACCAGACCTCTTGAAATATGCACAATGGTATGCATTAAGTTTGTTGTATCCAAGGCACATAATGAAGGAATCAAATCTCTTAAACAAACACCTCGGCGCCTGCTTTAGACCGTACATAGATTTGTTCAACCTGCAAACCAAGTTCTTCTTTTCTTTTTCTTCAAAACCTTCAGGATGGAGCATGTAAATATCTTCTTCAATATTTTCATGAAGAAAAACTGTTTTAACATCTAGCTGCTCTAGATGTAAGTTCAATGTAGCACACATTGCCAAAACTACTCGAACTGTTGTTAGTCGAACCACAGGAGAAAATATTTCATTGAAATCAATACCTTTTTTTGAGCATATCCTTTGACCACCAGTCTTGCACGATACCTCTCAACTTGATCGTCACCATTTCGCTTGATTTTGAAGACCCATTTGTCACCAATTGGCTTCCTTCCTTGTGGTAGTGGCACAAGGTCTCATGTATTATTTTTATGAAGGGTTTCAATTTCTTCTTGCATCGCCATCATCCACAGTGAAGCATCTGAGCTGTTTATTACCTCCTGGTATATTGATGGCTCACCGTCCTCTGTTAAAAGACAGTATGCAATATTACCTTCTATAACATAATCTAAGTGCCAATTGGGACGTCTTCTCACACGATCTGATTGACGAGTTGTTGGAGCTTCAGAACTCTCTAGTTCTTGTTCATCATGTGTTGGTTCTGCTTCAGAAGAATCTCCTTATTCAAACTCTTTTTACATATGTATCTGTGTAGACTTTGAATTTTCAGTGATACTATCTTCTTCTTTTCTTTGTAGCTTATCTTCTACAAATATAACATCCCTGCTAATGATCACTTTGCGGGTAGTAGGATCCCACAAGCGATACCCCTTTACACCATCACCATACCCCAAGAATTTGCATTTCCTAGACTTTGGATCCAGCTCTGAAATTTCTTGGGAGTTGTACATCACATGCACAATACTTCCAAATACATGGAGGTTTGAATAATCAGCTGGTTTACCAATCCACATCTCCATTGGTGTCTTCAGCTCTATTGCAGTTGATGGAGCTCGATTCACCAAATAAAAGGTGGTATTGATTGTTTCTGCCCAAAATGATTTTTCTAGGCATGCATCCCTCAACATTGCTCTTGTTATTTCTAACAAGGTTTTGTTCATCCGCTCTGTCACTCTATTTTGTTGAGGAGTGTTTGCCACTGTGAACTATCTTTTGATGCTTTCATTCCTGCAAAAGTCATTAAATTCTTCACTTGTGTATTCTCCTCCATTATATGTTCTGAAACACTTGATCTTATTTTCATAATCAAGTTCCACCAGCGCTTTGAAGTTTTTGAAAGTGGAAAATACATCTAACTTCTTCTTAATAGGGTACACCCAACATCTCCTGGAGTAATCATCAATAAATGAGACAAAATATTTTGCTCCGCCTAGGGATGTAACTGGTGCTTTCCATTCGTCAGAATGAACCAATTCTAGAACACTTTTGCCTCTAGAATTTGACGTGTTGAATTTCAATCGGTACTGCTTACTTGTTATACAATGCTCACACAAGGTAAGTGATACCTTTATTAAGCCTGGAAGTAGATTTTGCTCCACAAGGACTTTCATTCCTTGTTCTGACATGTGTCCAAGTTTCCGATGCCATAACATTGCAGAATCTGAACTACATGAGGCAACAGAGGCTTCTGCTTCTAGCAAAGTTTCTCCCTTCAACATGTACAAGTTTGTAACTATCTTTTCGCCTTTCAGCACCACAAGCGCTCCACGGAACACCTTCATGATTCCATTATGTGTTTCAATCTTGCTTGCATTATTATCTAACAATCCGTAGGATAATAAATTTTTCTTCAGGCCTTTTACGTGCCGCACATCTCGAACAATTTTAATTACTCCATCATATATCTTCAATTTGATGGTCTCCACGCCAACGATCTCTAAGGCATGACCATTGCAACTATACACAGATCCTCATGAGACAGGTTCATAATGATGGAACCATTCTCTTCTTGAGGTCATGTGATATGTTGCTCCCCGAATCAATGAGCCATATATCTGCAAATCGTTTTCTTCCTTCCATGGTGGCTGACGCTTCACAGTAAAGAGCATCTCCATCATCTGAAGTGTTTGCGGTATTGCCTTGTGGATTGGAGTTTTTATTTAGACTCCAACAATCCTTCTTCAAGTGACCCTTTTTTCCACAGTTGTAGCACTTTAAATTCTTTTTTCTTCTCGACTTTGATCTACCATGTTTGTGACTGCTGCTTTGGTCACGTTATGTTGATCTCCCTCTCATCGTTGTCAACGTTTCTGCTTGTTGCAGATTTACTTGTCTGTCTTCCTTGTTCTTGCGCCGATTTTCTTCTTGTAGAACAACAGATGCAATGTTATTGAAGACTAGACTGGTGACATTGTTATTTGTCAAGCTGATGATGAGTTGATCATACGAATCATGTAGACTTTGAAGTAGAAGTTCAGCACGTTCTTGTTCTCCTATTGCACATCTTAAGGATGTAAGCTGAGAAAATAACGTGTTCAATGTGTTTAAAGTGCTCTGTCACTGAAGTAGATTCTGGCATACAGAGAGTGTACAATTTCCTCTTAAGAAAAATTTTATTGTGCAATGATGTGGCCTCATACAATTTGGTGAGATGATCCCATATCTTCTTAGTTGTCTTCTTCTCCTCGATGCTTTACAATACTTCATCTACTAATGCTAGATGAAAGTTTGCCATATCATTCTCATCAATTTCGATCCATTTGTTGTCATATGTGAAATCTACCAGCCTTTCACTGATAGCTGCTAGACAACCGTCTTTCCTCAGGATAGTCTTCATCTTCAATTTTCACAATGAGAAATTTCTCTCATTAAATTTTTCAATATCAAATTTTGTTGCCATAGCTTCTATTACGGATAGCTCCCACTATTTCACTATCGTGAATAGTTCTCTGAAACCTTCAAAGAATGGGTATACTAATTGTTGCGGAAGACGGCTATCGGATAGAACAAAATCGCAACTGATAATTTGAGAAAATAAAGATAAAGATAAAGAAGACACAAAATTTACGTGAAAAACCCCTAAATAATATAGGGTAAAAACCACGGGCAACGGTAGAATAATTTCACTATAAGAAAATATGAATTACAACCACTCTCGATCTACCAAGGAGAAAACAATGATAATTCTCTCTTGAAAAAAAAGGAGAAAACAACTCTCAAGAAACTCTCTAGTGTTGGGAGAAAGCTAGAATGATTTGGGATGGTTTTGAAGCTAAATGAGATAGCGTATTTATAGTTGAAGCTTAGGGATTAATCTTGTAAATACCTTAAAGTTGCAATGACTAAATTTGCAATTTACCCATTACAAAAATTCAACAAAAGTTGTTGCCCCCTTTTTTTCTCCACGTAGTACCGAAAGTTGCATTTATTGTCACACTTTCGGTGCATAGTCAACAATTTGAAATTAAATTCAACTTTGGTTTTGAGTTTACGTATTTTAACTCGGATTCCTGTTTGATTTATCAATGCTATTAAATGGAACTGAAATAAAATATTTTATTTATTAATTGACTATATGAGAGGGTATTTTTTCTATTCATTATTACATTCATCACATCAAAATACAAATATTTGATTTTATTAAAAAATTTAATGATTCATTTCATTAATATATATATCAAAAAGAGAAAATCGCCTCAGTGACCAAAAATGCCTTATAATATACGATTTTAACCAACTTTTTCCGGATTTGCCAAAATGACCAACAAAATCACAATGCGATCGCTAATTCGCAACGCGATCTCCATTATCGCAAATTGGAGTTGCATTTCGCGTTGCGATAGTTGGAAATTGCATTGCGATGGTCTACAGTGTCGTTGCGATTTTCCCAATTCGCAATGCGAATAAGTAAATCGCAACGCGAATTGGGAAAATCGCAATGCGATACTGACTATCGCAATGCGATAATACAAAATCGCAACGAGATACTGACTTTCGCAATGCGATAATAAATAATCGCAATGCGATTTTCAAAGCGCCATTAGTATCCTGGCCAAGTATTTTATTTTTAAATTCCAAACACGAATATTAATATATTGGAACACTGAACCGTCCACAGTATATCCCGTAATCGCAACTCATAACCTAAAACCTAAAATCACAACTCAGTCCCATCTCCATCTCTCACTCTCTCACCCATCTCCGACGAAATCCGTCCCCCATCTCTGGCGAAATCCGTCTATCTCCATCTCTCATAGCCACCCTCACAATCAGAAATGGAAAATCAACCAAATCAACCAACGAGGGTTAGTTTTTTTAATTATTTTCTTTTTGAAATTTTTGCATTATTATTAGGTTTTTCATATTGAAATTGATGATAAGTTTACTGGTAATTTCAATAATAGATTAACCATTTCACTTAGATTGCTTATTAAATCAACCGAGAATCGCAATGCGATTTTAGTTTCGCGTTGCGATTCTCTCGTTGCGATAGTCAAATTCGCATTGCGATAGTCATTTTCGTGTTGCGATTTTCATTTTCAGAAACTATTCTTCTTCTGCAAATTGAAACTTGAATGAATTGTATTACTTCAACCAAAAAACAAAGACAAATAAGAAATTCGCAGTGTTGCAAATTTAAGTTTGAAGAATAAACTACTACTCTTTATGTTTATTATTGTTTTTGGTATATCTTCACAGTGTAGTTTTTGGTATATCTAATTTAGTATGTTTATTGTTTTTGTAGAACTTTTATTCGGCTCAATTGACCTTGAGAAATAAAGTCAGCCTGGCCAAAACAATTGCGTCGAAGCTTTCACCTGCACAAAGAAAAATGTTTGAGGATACATGCTTCGGGCCATGGCTGAAAGTACAACATCCCGGTAGAGATGCGATGCTGACACACCTGTTTCTTCAAACCATGACTAGCGATCTACCAGAGACTATACAACGTCGTGATGAAGAGATATGGTTTGATTTTCCACCGGCGTATACGTGTTTTGTGCGGGAGGAGTTTTGCTTAATCACCGGTCTACGCTTCGGACACGATGATGTAGGTCGGTACACTAGACACATTACCCGCCCATCATGGTTATTCCGGGTTTTTCCTGAGCTGGAGAGGCCGAATCTACACGTGGAAGACCTGACGATATTATTGAATAAGAAAGATGGTTTTACTCGGTTGGATGACGTCGACGTTGTCCGAGTATGCCTTCTAATTCTTTTGCATGCCAGCTTTTTAGGCAGAGAGGCCAGACAACCTATTCCAAATGATCTAATCAAATTGGTAGAAGACCTAAATGCGTGGAACTTGTTTCCGTGGGGCTCGTATTTATGGAAAGCTACATGGAATAAGTTATCGTCTGCCTTGGATGATCGAAAAAGTTTGCATGGCGATTGTTCTAAATACACTTTGACAGACTTTATTTGGGCCTTTAAGGTAAGAATTTTTATATAATGTTTCCAAAATTATAAATAATTATTTAACAATTACTAATGTTTGTTATTATATTGTTTGTAGATTTGGATATTTGAGGCCTTTCCCGCCATGAAGACATATGCAATAAAAACTTCAAATAATATTCCCAGGGCTATTTCCTGGAAGAGGAAACAGACCTTGCAATGGGAAGATTTACTACGGTATACGACAATAAATAATGTAAGTTAACATAAATACTACCATAT